TATATATATATATATATATATATATATATATATATACACATACTGAAATATGTATAGTATGCATAATTCAATTCTTCTCAATTATTTGCTAAAAATAATCAAAACAAACAGATTTAGGCTCTTTATTTATATTCATTGGTTTTAATAGGTGTAAAATTAGCAATTCATTGCTAAATTAAAGTGAGTGACGTTTGCAAAGACGGTGTTGTTTGGAAAAACATTGACAAAACATGCCTTCTTTCGCCGTATTAAATTGCACTCAAATGCACTCCACACAGAAATGCCAGCTGGCCCAGTCAGGACTCGAATCTGCAACCTTCTTGCGGTGAGGTCACAGTGCTAACCACTGAGCCACCATGCTGCCAAAACTGCAAGTTCTAGAGTAAAAACAAACAAACTATTTCTGTTCAGAAACACTGGCAATTAATGAACATTATAAATAAACACACACACTAACATTTTGCAATGCCATGTTGCATCATTTTATTTGGTGTGGGTGTATTTTCCAGTATGTACATCATAAATATTTTTTTTTTCCACAAGAAAAACAACCAGTTTCTTATAAATACATGAAGAAGGAGTGAGGTATGGGGTAGAGTCTGTCAGAAAAGCCCCCTTATTTTTTAGTAACGTCCATGTCAGACTGTGCATCCAACACATCTTCACACCAGCGGCGTTTAGCTCTTTCATTAGTCTTCCATGTGTCGTTTCAATAAAATCAGACAGGTTCCATAATTGCATAATCTCAGTGTTCATTTTAAAGGCTGACACGCTTTAAAAAAAAAAAGAAAGAAATAGGTTTATACATCTTCAAATCATTTGTTCAATAATGTGTGCTCGACTGATTTCCTTTTGGTTTAAAAAAATAAATACGTTGAATTTTCAGCCTGTGGTTTTCAAATCGCGTCCAAAAGCATGGATTGGCAGAAATAATAATAGGAAGAACAAAAATCCCAGTATACAAATGATGCAACTCCACAACAATCTTAAAGAATTATCAAACAATAATAAATTAATTTAGCATATTTTCTTTTCCATTAGCGCTAGTTATTGATCTCCGGTGGATCAGCATGCTGCTTTATTTTCTCTTGCAATATTCAAATGTATTTGCGTCAATGGCACGGATGAATTTGACAAACAGGCTGCTCAAGTAAAGAGAATTTGAGGTTATGGATGTAAAATATTTGCAAATAAATACAAACAAACTAAATCAAATTGACTTGTAGTTTAAAATGCAACCCAAGCTCATTCTGAAAGCGTAGCGTAGACGATTCTGGAGGCCGCGATTTACGTGTCCGGAGGTATGACGCCACTCCTCTTCGCGCTCGCCAGCTGACAGCTCACCTTCATGTTTCCCCATCGCAACCTGTTTGTCCGGTTAGCTCGTCGTGAAGGTCGGCGGAGCGGAGGCTGGGAGCTCGGTACAACGACGATGACAACCGGGTTCGAGTTCGGGGAAGAGCGGTTCCAGAAATCAGACAAAAACAGCATCCAAAAAATAAAGCGAACGAGTTCATAACAGGGTGAGAATGTGGCGAAATCCGAAAACGCGGTCAAAATCAGACGAGGGCTTTTCTTTTTCTGGATGGCTTTTGTAAATCGTTGCTTGGGTTTAGGGAAGGAGGAGGAGTCAATCAAGTCTATCATTTAGTCAGTCGGACAGATTTTCACTCGACAGCGGCTTCCGGTGGCTTTACGCGAGAACCGTGCAGGTGCGAACAGCGCTAGCGAGAGGCGTTCAAGATGCATTTTCGAAAACAAAATTCGATTCAGCGGATTTGCGAAAACAAAAACTGCACAAATACGTATTTCGCGGTCTCCAGAAACGTCTGCGGGGCTACGTTTCCAGAATGAGCCTGGGTTGGTAAAATGTAAAGTATCTGCAACCCGACAACTCAGGAACCAAATGTGAATGACAGAAAATAATCACTTAATCAGCATTTTTCATTTTTATCTCGAAGCCATCATGAAAAGAGTATTTGGTTCTCATTATTTCTTCAAAACGAAGGCGCAAAATGCCAGTCTTTCAGTTTATGGTGGTTATGAAGGCATAACAAACGTGTGTGTGCAAACCCTTTCCCGGAGTCCTCATCTGAAAACCTCTTTTGTAAGTTTGCATGCTTTAATACATTAAAAGAGTGCTTCAATCTGTAACACTGCCTTGTTTTACAGTAAAATATGAAAACATCCTTAAAGTAAGATCAATTAATCTAAAACAAAGCTTGTTTTTAAGCATACGCCTAAATAAATAGCTTAAAGAATTGTTGTGGTCACTATTTATCTTAATTTTTATTGCCAATGTATAAACAAACCTCCCCTGCTTCCTATGTAGCCTGTGAAAATAGTAGTATGATCGAAGCAGGATACTAATTAAGTGCAAATTACAGTATCTACACTGCAGGTGAAAAATTTGCGATGCACAGAATTTTTTGGCCGGCAGAAATAATGGACAAAAATAGAATTTTTGCTCTTCGACCAATATTTCAATGATTATACACTTGAAAAAAAGGGTTATTATGCACCATAGTGTTCAGCGCGATGGTTTCACTCTCTTTTTCCCTTTCTGCTGTGTGTTTGATCTGAATTGCCCTCCACTTCATTTGCAGAAAGCGCTGCGCTATGAAACCCATTCATTTCAATGTGCATCAAACATTCGGCCGAATATGGTCATATATTTCAATGAATATAAGCTAAAAAAGGTTATCATTCTTTATGCTGGTCACTCTCTTTTCCCTCCTGTGTGTATGATCTGAATCGGCTTCCATGCCGTTCACAGAAAGCGCTGCGCTATGAAACCCATTCATTTCAATGTGCTCCAAACATTTGACCAAATATGTTCATGTATTTTGATAAACATAAGCTAAAAAAGGCTATTATTACGCTGGTAAAATGATGCTTCTCGATTAAAACAAAACTTGCGCCACTTCTTATGTAGCCTGTGAAAATAGTAGTATGTTCGAAGCATTATGCTAACTAAGTGCAAATTGACCTTCATTCACTTTACGATAAATAAATGACAATATTTTAGATGAAACTGGAGAGCTCCCTTATCCTCCAAAGACAGCACATGGTCAAACACATGGTCAAAACATTGCAAGTGAGTTCATATGAAACTGTAAGAACAATTTCTGTGCTGTAAGAACAAAATAGTTTATGTCTTCTGAATCAGATTAGCGTAGATGTTTACTACGGACAATATGATGATTGTGTGTTGTGCTAAGTTAAAGAAATAGGCCAGGGGTGCCCAAAATTGGTCCTGGAGGTTTAGATCCAACCCCAATCAGACACGCCTGGGATAGCTAATCAAGCTCTTCGTAGGTTTGTCCTGGCAGGTGTGTTGAGGCAAGTTGGAGCTAAACTCTGCAAGACACTAGCCCTCCAGGACAGAGTTTGGACACCCCTGACGAAAGCAAACAAAACTGATTTTACGGTATTCTTAGCGGACAAAATGTTTTTCTCTTCTAGGCTTTGAAAGTCTTCAGAAAAAGCTCTCAGATTTCATCTAAAAAAACTTAATGTGTGTTCTGATGATGAACAAAGGTCTGTACATAAGGCTAACTAAAGTCAGAAATCTTTGCTTTAAGGATGTTTACATTTGTACTGGAAATTGACCATAAAGGGAAGCCTTGATTTCATGATTCTTTTACCAAAAAAAAAGTAAACAGAATCGGCACACTGCCCCTTTAGCTCTCAAAAGACAATTTAATTCATTGGAATTAGTCCAAAAAGGTTAGAAACTACTTTAATTTGTACCATGAAACTTGTATGAAGATAACTTGTGGTGAGAGATTGTCCGTAAACAAACCCCTGTTGGCCAGCAGAGCTACTGCAATTACACTTTGAAATGGGTTTGACTGCATGCATACAAGTGCACATGTAATTAAAATAATACATTTTGGCTTTAATGACATTGTTTTAGTAGATCAAGCTAAGTTAAAGTCATCATGAAATCATAATTTACTCTTCTTATTTATTTAGCAACAAAGCCTCATTGTGGATATGTACTACCGTCTGCATTTCTGGAGAGCACGAATTATGTAGCCAGAGGTACGTCTGGCTGCATTGCATCTTTAAAATGAATGCTATGGGGCATCGATGATGTTCTGCTGATCGCTGTATGGACGGCTTTTCTGGTGTTACCAGTATGCCCAGTCGCTCATGGGCAGATATAAATAAATCGGCAGATTTGGTACGCAGAGCGGAGACAACCGGATTCGAGTCCGGCAAAGACCGGTTCCAGAAACCAGGTAAAACAAAAGCAAAAAATAAATAAATTAAATTAATTTAAAAACAGGGTGAAAAGATTATTACACAGCCGAGACAACTTTTCTTTTTCTAGATTGCTTTTAAAAACACTATCGGCTGGATTTAGGGACGAGTGGGTGGGTCACTCAGTCGACAGCAAACTGGCCTGGTCGGCCAAAGTGTATCTTGCGCCCTCTGGTGGATATATGCGAGAAGAGGACACGTGAGAGAAATTTGAGATCATCAAACAGCATACACAGGATGCAAAAACAAAAACTGTGAGCAGATGTACCTCCGCTTCTGTATCTGACTGCCCCCAGAAATGTAGACCCTGGTATGTATCTGCAATGAACCTGGGTGGTTTTTATGCATATAGTAGTGCTTGTTATAAACAATGGATCTGTGCACAATATATTAGCCCTCATAATCTTTCATTAAATACCATAACCTTCCTTCCCCCTCTCCGGAAACAACTTCTCTTCACTTCTGGTCACATGGAATGGCTTTAGGGTGGGGCTTTTATCAGTGGGTTGAATTGACTTGAATTGTCTTTTGAGAGCTAAAGTAGCCGTGTGCCCATTCTGTTTACTTTTTGTGTTTTGTTCGGCTTGATCGAGCACCTTCCTCAAAGTCTTTCTTAAGATGCGCACACACTGATGTCTCATCTTCAATAATGAATTTGGAGGAAAACAGAATGATTCGTAGAGCGAGCAACGACAAAGAAATCAAGAGAAGAGTTGAAGCGAGTGGCGGTGCGTGATTTGATAATCATCAGCTGCCATTGGTGATGATGACGGAGGTGCCTTTATGGCCCGGCGCTTGTTCAGCCTGCATGCGTAGATGAGTGGTCATATCGTAATGAGAGGAACCAGAGCACCCAAGGGAGTATCCTCGAAAGCTGTCCGCCTCATACAGGTGTTCCAGTGCGTAGCTGGTGAGCGAGTACGCTGCGTGTTTTTCCAGGTACTGGCGTGGATGTAAGGAGTAAAGCGCAGGAGTCGGAGAAACAGCACAAGTGCCGGTCAGGGGCAGCTGGGAAGAGGAAAGCTCATTCTGTAGGAAGTCTTTGCCTTTAGATAGTCTGTCCGGGAGTGGGCTGCTTAGGCGGGACAGGGGAACGGGGCTAGGAGCGGGGCTTATGACCTGAGCCGGCCCTCGACACACAACACTCTGCATTGCTGACTGGGGAAAGTCGGTACTATGAAAACTCTTAGCCAGACTGTTTGTGGGCTCCAGTGGTACGTCTGTAGGAAGCTTTCTCAGCTGCAGACGACTTTCCTCCTCTTTGATCATCTGCTGTGTGGCTCGGATTAGGGTCTCAATCTTGCTGGGCTCTTGAGGACTTGAACGGCATTGATCGGCACGAAATCGGTCGCCTGAATCGCTGGCTGAGCCGCCATCGGGTGAGCTGACAGCGCTGTCCTCATCCCAGTGACCCCTCACTGCAAGCAGGAGAAAAACAGCATTACTTGATTGGCCTTAGGCATGTCTCAAGGAACGAAATCAATATATCTTTTGACTAAACTAGCCGATTGAAAAAGTTTTCCCAGTGTTCAGGATTCAAAGTTTGCTGTTGGAACGCTGCCCATGAGGTTATTCATGAGCCCAAAGGGTATCTAACTTTTTAGATGTAAACAAGGGTAAGCTTGCAGTCCACAATGCAGATTTTGCCATCAAAACAACTCCCATATTCTGTATGCGCAACTATACAAGTATCCAGGTAAAAAAAATTACTTTAGGTTTAAGGTCATTGTTTTAGTATTTCAAGCCAAGTTAACGTCGGCAAATCAAAATAGACTCTTATTTTTATAGGTATGTACTAGTGGTTGTTATAAACAATGCAATCAGGGGCGCCACTGGCCGGTACGAGACCTATGACAACATTCTGATGGTCATCATCATTTTCAACCGATTATCTGGGGTCGGGTCGCGGGGGCAGCAGTCTTAGGAGAGAACCTCAGACTTCCCTCTCCCTAGACACTTCCTCCAGCTCCTCCGGGGGGATCCCGAGGCGTTCCTAGGCCAGGCGAGAGACATAGTCCCTCCAGCGTGTCCTGGGTCTTTCCTGAGGCCTCCTCCCGGTAGGACATGCCTGGAACATCTCCCTAGATAGGCGTCCTGGAGCCATCCGAAACAGATGCCCGATCCACCTCAGCTGACTTCTCTCGATGTGGAGGAGCAGCAGCTCTACTCCGAGCTCCTCCCGGGTGACAGAGCTCCTCACCCTGTCTATAAGGGTGCGACCTGCCACCCTACGAAGGAAACTCATTTCAGCCCGTATGTCTCTGAGATCTTCTGCTTTCAGTCATGACCCAAAGCTCATGACCATAGGTTAGAGTAGGATTGTAGATTGACTGGTAAATTGAGAGCTTTGCCTTTCGGCTCAGCTCCTTCTTCACCACAACAGACCAGTACATCGACCGCATTGCTGCCGCCGCTGCACCGATCCGCCTGATGGTAGGGCGCAACTGTATTCCCCCAAAACAGTGTGGCCCCTTAGAATCGTCCTAACATTCCGACCCTTTGCGGCGCTCCTGAATGCAGTTCATTAATTAGTAATACATTTATTTGCCCTCCATAAACTTCAATCAAATACCATAACTTTCCCTCCCCCCTGAAAACAATCAATCACATCGAATGACCTTAAGTCAGGGATATCGGTGTGTGTGTGTCTTGATTCTGCCTTGCTTTGGCCAATTCGTCAATTTTCCTTTGTTTTGTTAGCAACACCCATCCTCCTATGATCCAGTCCAGTCCCAAAAGATGAAATCAGACACCACCCTACATCCACTTGGATGATGCAACAGCAGCCATAGGACAATGGCGCCAGTGCTTCACCACACACCAACTATTGGTGGAGGGGAGAGACCGTGACAGAGCCAATTTGGTGGATGGGGATGATTGGGAGCCCATGATCGGTATAGACAAGGGATCACCAAACTTGTTTCTGGAGGTCGGGTGTCCGGCAGATTTTAGCTCCAACCCTAATCAAACACACCTGAACAAGCTTATCAAGGTCTTGCTAGGTATACTTGAAACATCCAGGCAAGTGTGTTGATGCAAGTTGGAGCTAAACCCTACAGGGCACCCGACCTCCAGAAAGGAGATTGGTGACCCCTGGTATAAACAAATTGACCCCCTACTACACCCCTACTCTTTACGAGAAGTGCCATGGGAAGTGCCAGCGAAAGAAGGCGCTCACTGACAGTATAGTGTCCCCTTCACTATACTGGTGCATTAGGACTCGCACAGATCGCAGGTTGAGGGTCCCCCTGCCGGCCTCTCTAACATCACTTCCAACAATAACCTAGTTTTCCCATGTGGTCTCCCATCCAGGTACTAACCAAGCTCAGCCATGCTTAGCTTCAGTGAATAACCGGTCTTAAGCTGCAGGGATTAAAAAGGATGCACCAATTCTGCCCCAAAACAAACTAGCATTATAATTATTTGTTTTCTAATATGTAAAGAAACACACCTTGCAGGCTATGGATAGAAGCGATGTGAGGCATCACGCCTTCAAAACTGTCCCCATTCTCAGGTGAAGATTTGGGTAAGGGGAGGACCGAGCGGGCTGCGCCCCACCATGCCTCTCGTCCGGGCTGAGGGGTGCCCAGAAAGTAGCGTCCGGCTTTACAGCAGCCCCTCTCGCAGGACTCCGAGTGAGGGTGGCTGTAGAGCTCGTTGGAGGTGTGGTGATCTTCCGTCAGGGGTAAACCATAGCACAGCGAGCGGGGGTCCGAGAACTGCCGGTACACGCATGAGGACTCGATGCCTTCACACTGCTCCAGAAGCTGAGGAGATGCAGAATCAGTCAGTGGACTCCCACCCCATGGGCTGTCCTGATCCGACTCCGAGCGATCTGTGGGGAAACCTGGATACTACACACACACACACAAAACAGAATATGCATCAACATAGCGTATGAACACAGGGATGCTTTTCTCTGATGTTTAACTCCTCGTGACTGACTAAACCCTTTGCACAAGACTGCTATGATGCATCATCATAATCTTAAGTCCTTTATTAAAGGTTTTTAATATTTAGATTTTAAAAAAGGATGCACATTTATATGTGTATACATCAAGGTGTTTCTAATGCAGTATTTAGGGTGGGGACAGTATCTGACATTACTCCCTCCTCTGACTGCCGTTATCAGTCTCACACTGTTTCTTTTTTCCGTTTCTGAAAGTCTTGTTAACACCATCATGGAGTTGTTCTTTCATTATTTCAGCTAATAGGATTGTAAAAATATAAATATATTTGTTGTACTTTCCCATTCATTGCGCTCCAAACTATGAATGAGAAACCCGGAACTGTGAAAAGGGTCCATAAAAAACAGCCATTGAGTTTGTGCATACCGACACGCACAACAGCAAGCACACCTTTTAAAGAAACATGCTTGTTTTTTTTCCTGCTCCACCAATGAGATTGGCGCTTTTGTTCACATGCCTAGACCTGCTGCTGCTGAAGTTGCAGCCATTTGGAGGTGATTAAGCACAGTGCCACGAGTGTTAAAGCCAGTTCCTGGAGGGCCGCAGCGCTGCACATTTTAGGCCCCGTTTACACTAGTGCGTTTTTGTTTTAAAACGGCGTTTTAGATTCGCGTCCACACCAGCGTTTCAACAAGCGTCTCCGAACATATCTCCATCCACACTACGCCACCAAAAACGTATATCACTTGACCATTCGTGCACTCTGGGCATGCGCGTTCTAGTATAAACAGAAAGCATGAGTCTCGCTCGGCATTTTCTTATTGTTAGTCAACAAACACCGGTTGAACATTAAATGCGATGGCAAAGAAAGCAAGAGAGGTATTTTTGCGGACAGACGACGAGGTCGAGACGTTACTAAACGTAACAAATGAATAACTGCACAATGGCGCCTAAAACAGACAATAGTGCAAACAGCGCTCCCATTTCTGTGCCCATGTTGTTGTTTACAGTGAAGGCTGGTCTGCTGTCTTCTGGTAGCATTAAGCCATGTGTTATAGTCATGTGATAGAGGCTTGACGAATAAGGGAAGGATAAGCAATGAAACAAAAGCCCCAATCAGGTAGCGAATCTCAGCAGCCCCGCCTCCGTTTTCAGATGTCTCCGTTTTCCCTCATCCACACTGAGACGCAGCAGCAGCGTTTCAGAATGAAAACAGCCTCTCCAGCATTTCCAAAACAATTAGTTTTCGGCGCTCGAAAACTCCGGCGTAGTGTGAACGGATGGCGTAACCGTAGCAAAACTTATGCGTTTTAAAATGAAAACGCATTAGTGTAAACAGGGCGTTAGTTTCAATGCGAAATAAACACACCTGACCAAACTAAATGAGGCTTGTTTGAAACCTCAAAATAAAAACAGCTACAAATCCCTGACCTAAAAACTGACATACTTAACAAGGTATAATCAATAATCTTATAGGTATTTCGGCCTTAAAGTTCAGAGACACATTCTGGAGACACAAAATACTCATGCTATATCTTTTAAAAAGGCCAAAATTTGTGTGTTTTAAAGCAGTGTTTCCCAACCCTGTTCCTGAAGGCACAGCAATAGTACACATTTTCAAGCTCCCCCTAATCAAACACACCTGAATCACCTTATAAGAACATTAAGAGACTGTCCAAAACCTGAAGTTAATGGGTCAGAAAACCAGCTCATTTGGATTTAAAGGCACAAGCGCAAAATAAAAACAGCTACAAATCCCTCTGACCCAAACATTGACATATTCAACAGGGTATAATCAATGATCTGATTGGTAGTTTGGCTGGAAAACTCACAGACACATTCTGGAGACACAAAACACTTATGTTATATTTTGTAAAAAGGCCAAAATTGGAGCTTTTTAAAGGTGTTTCTCAACCCTGTTCCTACAGGCACACCAACAGTACACATTTTCCACCCTCTCCCTATTCAAACACACCTGAATCAACTCATTGGACCATTAAGAGACTCCAAAACCTGAAGTTAATGGGTCAGAAAACCAGCTCATTTGGATTTAAAGGCACAAGCGCAAAATAAAAACCACAGCAAATCCCTCTGACCCAAAAACTGACATATTTAACAAGGTATAATCAACGATCTGATTGGTATTTTGGCCTAAAACTTTAAAGGCACATTCTGGAGACACAAAATATTTGTTACATCTCGTAAAAAGGCCAAAATGTAAGTGTTTTAAAGCAGTGTTTCCCAACCCTGTTCCTGAAGGCACAGCAATAGTAAACATTTTCAAGCTCCCCCTAATCAAACACACCAGAATCACCTTATAAGAACATTAGGAGACTGTCCAAAACCTGAAGTTAATGGGTGAGAAAACCAGCTCATTTGGATTTAAAGGCACAAGCGCAAAATAAAAACCACGGCAAATCCCTCTGACCCAAACATTTACATATTCAACAGGGTATAATCAATGATCTGATAGGTATTTTGGCCAGAAAACTCATAGACACATTCTGGAGACACAAAATACTAATGTAATATCTTGTAAAAAGGCCAAAATTGGAGCTAATTAAAGCAGTGTTTCCCAACCCTGTTCCTACAGGCACACCAACAGTACACAATTTTTAAACTCTCCCTAATCAAACACACCTGAATCAACTCATCAGACCATTAAGATAGCCTCTAAAGCCTGAAGTTAATAGATCAAATAAGGGAAACATCCAAAATATGTACTGTTGGTGTGCCTTCAGGAACAGGATTGGGAAACACTGACTTAAATGCTCTCCTGAATCTTACATTCAGCTTCAATTATCACACAATCATCTAGTTTAAGTCTAATTTGTCAGGCATTCTACTAAGTCTACTGCGACACTGACCTGTGAGTACGGAGAGAGTCTTGTTTTGGTCTTGGTTCGGGAGACTCTGCTTTTTCCAACTCTTCTGTTCTCGGTGACGGGGTTGGAGGGGCTGTTGTAGGTGAAGGAGGGTTTGGTGGACGCCGCCTGGTCCAAAGACAACTGTAGTCCTTTGTACTCCGTGTCCCTGTTGGGAAACGACAGCAAACATTGAGCCACGAAAACCCAGCCAGGTGTCTCATACCTGTCAACATTGGGATGTATAAACACAGGATAGGCTTTAATTAAAAATTAAATAAAAGATAAAATAATTAAACACGGGAGAAATACGGGATAATAGTGAGATAGAATGGTAAAATACGGAAGAATCCTGAGCAAAAATGGGAGGTTGACAGGTATACCAACGGTTGATGCTAGAAGCAACACAGCTGTGGTCGGAAGTTAATGAGAATTATTTAATAAATTATTCATTAATTCACCATTCACCATCTACCCCTACCATAACCCTAAACCCAACCATCACATCAATTTAAAAACAGCAATTATACAGAGTATTATTCATACTATTTATTCAATTACCCATTAAATTGTATTGTATTGACGTCTACCCCTAAACCCAACCATTACAGTACTGTAAAAGCAGTAATTATACAGAGTATTTTATATTAATTAATTAATTAATTAATTAATTAATTAGTTTGTTTGTTTGTTTGTTTGTTTGTTTGTTTGTTTGTTTGTTTGTTTGTTTGTTTGTTTGTTTGTTTATTTATTTATTTATTTATTTATTTATTTATTTATTTATTCATTTATTTATTTAATTAATTAATTAATTAATTAATTAAATTATTTATTTATTCATTTATTTATTTAATTAATTAATTAATTAATTAATTAAATTATTTATTTATTTATTTATTTATTTAATTAATTAAAATTTTTTTATTATTTTTTAATTAATTAATTATTAATTATTTATTAATTAAATAAAAGTTTACCCCCACCCTAACCTTCACAGTAATGTAAAAACATTAATTATACCAAGTAATATTCATATTATTTATTAAATTACACTGGTATTTCATTAACGTCCAACCCAAATCTAAATCCAACCCTCAGACTAATGCAAAATCAGTGCTTATACATATTATTTATAAAATTATCTATTAAACTGTATTTTATAAGCGTCAAATCCAATCCCAACCCTAAACTCAACCATCATAGTACGGTAAAAACAATAATTATACAGAGTATTATTCATATTATTTATTAAATAACCCATTAGATTTTATTTGATTGACGTCTACCCCTAAACTCAACTATTAGTGTACTGTAACAAGAGTAATTATGGACTATTATTCATATTATTTAGTATATTACACATTAAATTAATGTCTACCCCAACCCCAACCCTCACAGTAATGCAAAAACGACAATTATACAGAGAATTATTCATATTATTTTTTATTAACGTCGAATCCTACTCCAACCCTAAACTCAACCATCACAGTAACTTTACAGAGTATTTTTCATATTATTCATTAAATTACCTATTAAATTAAAGCCTACCCCCAACCCAACACTAAACTCAACCATCACAGTATTGTACAAATAGTAATTACACTCACCGGCCACTTTATTAGGTACACCTGTCCAACTGCATGTCACCACAAATTTCTAATCATCTCAGACTGGTGAACATGACAATGCGTTCACTGTACTCGAATGGCCTCCACAGTCAGCAGATCTCAATCCAATAGAGCAGCTTTGGGATGTGGTGGAACGGGAGATTGGCATCATGGATGTGCAGCCGACAAATCTGCAGCAACTGTGTGATGCTATCATGACAATATGGAGCAAAATCTCTGAGGAAGATTTCCAGCACCATGTTGAATCTCTGCCATGAAGGATTAAAGCAGTTCAGAAGGTAAAAGGGGGTCCAACCTGGTAGTAGTAAGGTGTACCTAATAAAGTGGCCAGTGAGTGTATACCAAATTTTATTCATATTGCTAATGAAATTACCCATTAGATTGCATTTTATTAACATCTACCCCCAACCCAACCCTCACAGTAATGTAAAATTAGGAATTATTGTCGTAGAGCGTCACAAAAAAAGATGCTGTATTGACGTGAGTATCCGCAGCTGTATCCCTTCTAGACCGTGTTCAGCCTCATGCTGCATATAGAAGCTCGTCTCAGCATTACTGCATTTTTCCCTTACACTTTACCAGTCTTAGAAATGTACGCTTCAGCCGCTTTTCTTTTCTGATACTTCAGGCTCAGTGCTCATTTGTGAAGCAGTGTGTGTGTGTGTGTGTGTGTGTGTGTGTGTGTGTGTGTGTGTGTGTGTGTGTGTGTGTGTGTGTGTGAGACTCAAGGACAGAAAATGAATTGCATTGTTTCTCCTGCAGGATTGGAACAAGGCTCCGACAAACATACGGCGGAGGGCTGGGGGCTCTGTTCAAATACACAGTGAGATTAAGAGCTATGTCTGGCTAAATCAAACCCACACAGGGATCACCACATAAGGCATAACTAGGAAATGGGAATTGATTTCTCAGTAAAGTGCTGTATGGATTTCTGTTCCCAGTGATGTATAAGTTTCAGGAAAAAAAAAGAAAAAAACGGCGGCTAGAACGTATGCTAGCCAGGAGCCGACGCCAGCTTCCCTCCCGAGGCCCAGCAGCCTGGCTCAGACGGCGTGTAGACTAATGAGATCGCGCGCGCACACACACACACACACATGGAGACATCTTGGAGGAAAAACGGACGTAGACTTTCTCACATGCACCCACACAAACGCATCTGCAGATCCATGCAATGTGGAGTTCACGCCACGCGTAAACAAGCAGATCAAAGCCAGACAACTCAAGCCAAAACCCTGGGATAGTTCACCAAAGAATGAATATTCTGCATCATTTACACAAAAGAAGATATTTTGAAGAATGCTGAAAACCTGTTACCATCGACTTGCATAGTATTTGTTGGGATTTAAAGGGATAGTTCACCCAAAAATCTAAATTGGGTCATTATTTAACTAAGCATACACTTGTTTCAAACCTTTATAAGTCTCTTTCTTATTCTAAACACAAAAGAAGATATTTTGAAGAATGCTGAAAACCTGTAACCATTGACTTGCATAGTATTGATTGGGCTTTAAAGGGATAGTTCACCCGAAAATGTAAATTCTTTCATCATTTGACTAACCCTGCACTAGTCTCAAACCTTTATGAGTTTCTTTTTCTTATCTTAAACACAAAAGAAGATATTTTGAAAAATGCTGAATACCTGTAACTATCGACTTGCATAGTATTTGTAGGGCTTTAAAGGGATAGTTCATCCAAAAATGAAATTTTGTCATCATTTACAAAAGCTCTATGAGTCTCTTTAATATGTTGAACACAAAAGAAGATAGTTTGAAGAATGCTAAAAACCTGTAACCATTTACTTTCGTAATTTGGATTGGGCTTTAAAGGAATAGTTCACCCAAAAATTGAAATTATTTCATCATTTAAGTAACCCTGCATTTGTCTTAAACCTTTATGAGTCTCTTATGCTAACCACAAAAATAAGATATTTTGAAGAATGCTGAAAACCTGTAACTAATGACTGCAATAGTAATTTTTTAGGCTTTAAATGGACAGTTCACCCAAAAATTAAAATTCTGTTATTATTTAACTAACCCCACATTTGTTTTAAACTTTTAAACACAAAAGAAGATATTTTGAAGAATGTTGAAAACCTGTAACCATTGACTTGCATAGTATTGGTTGGGCTTTAAAGGGATAGTTCACCCAAAAATAAAAATTCTGTCATCATTTTACTAACCCTGCACTTGTCTCAAACCTTTGTGTCTCTTTCTTATGTTAAACACAAAATAAGATATTTTGAAAAATGCAGAAAACCTGTAACCATTCACTTTCATAATATGGGCTGGGCTTTAAAGGGATAGTTCCCCCAAAATGTGAATTCTGTCATCATTTGCTAACACTACACTTGTCTTAAACCTTTATGAGTCTCTTTCTTGTACTAAACACAAAAGAAAATATTTTGAAGAATGCTGAAAACCTGTAACCATCGACTTGCATAGTTTTGTTGGGTTTTAAAGGGGATAGTTCGCTCAAAAATCTAAATTCTGTCTGCATTTACTAAGCCTACACTTTCTCAAACCTTTATGAGTCTCCTACTTATGCTAAACACAAAATAAGATATTTTGAAGAATGCTGAAAACCTGTATCCATCTACTTGCATAGTATTGATGGGCTTTAAAGGGATAGTTCACCCAATAATTAAACCTCTGTCATCATTTGCTGATCCAGCGCTTGTCTCAAACCGTTATGAGTCTCTTTCTTATGCTAAACACAAAAGAAGATATTTTGAAGAATGCTAAAAACCTGTAACCATCGACTTGCATAGTATTTGATGGGTTTTAAAAGAGATAGTTCCCCCCAAAATGTAAATTCAGTCATCATTTACTAACCCTGCACTTGTCTTAAACCTATATTTATGAAAATGCCAGAAACCTGTAACCATTGACTTCCATAGCAGGAAAAACAAATACTATGGAAGTCAATGGTTACAGGTTTCTGCCTTTTTTCTATATACGTTTTTCATCTTTCTTTGACTGTTGGAAAGCTGTAACCATTGACTTCCACAGTAGGCAGATCAAATACAATAGAAGTCAATGGTTACAGGTTTCCAGCATTCTTCAAAGCATCTTCAACCAAAAAAAAAAGAGGTGAATTTAAGGTGAATAAATAATGAGGACATTTTCATTTTGGGGTGAACTATCCCTTCGGGGGGATGCAACAGGTCGCTCTTGTGCGCATACACACAATCTCATTCAGTTGAGCCGCCACACACACACACACACACACACACACAATCTCATTTCACACCTCACAGCCTCTCTGATAACACCAGGATAAGACGGCAGACACATCCAGCTCGTTTCCTTTTCTTTCTAAACGCTAGCTGTGCATTTGTGAATGAGGGCACGTGTGGAGAGGTTAAACAAGGAACAGCACTTGTTACATCCACACCGCGCTGCACACTTTCATGGAAAATGAATCGTGGATTACAGCGGAGGGAACATCACAAAAGAAAAGACACACTCTGCAAGCTGTGCGCTATAAACACTCATCATCTTTACAGCCTATTAATTAAAGCTCATAAACACTTTTCCTTTATAGCTGCGCTGAAGAGCCGTCTGACACTCGCAGACTTATTACAACCAATACACTCTCAGTTATAATGACGCTTTTAAATGGCGTGCAATTCACTTACAGAACATAGTATAAACAATTTAAAGCCATTTCTCAGTGAATAGAGTCAATGTACACTCACCGGCCACTTTATTAGGTACACTTGTCCAATTGCTCATGAACACAAATGTCTAATCAGCCAATCACATGTCAGCAGCTCAATGCATTTAGGCATGTAGACATGGTCAAGATGATCTCCTGCAGCGCAAAGCGAGCATCAGGATGGGGAAGAAAGGGGATTTAGGTCACTTTGAACGTGGCATGGTTGTTGCTGCCAGACGGGCTGCTCTGAGTATTTCAGAAACTGCTGATCTACTGGGATTTTCACGCACAACCATGTCTAGGGTTTACAAAGAATGCTCCGACAAAGAGGAAATATCCAGTGAGCGGCAGTTCTGTGGACGCAAATGCCTTGTTGATGCCAGAGGTCAGAGGAGAATGGCCAGACTGGTTCCAACAACAGTAACTCAAATAAGCACTCGTTACAACCGAGCTCTGCAGAAGAGCATCTCTGAACACACAACACGTCCAACCTTGAGGCGGATGGGCTACAGCAGCAGAAGAGCACACCGGGTGCCGCTCCTGTCAGCTAAGAACAGGAAACTGAGGCTACAATTCACACAGACTCACCAAAACTGGACAATAGAAGATTGGAGAAACGTTGCTGCTCTGATGAGTCTCCATTTCTGCTCACACATTCAGATGCTCAGCTCACAATTTGGCCTCAACAGCATGAAAGCATGGATCATCCTGCCTTGTATCAGCGGTTCAGGCTGGTGGTGGTGGTGTAATGGTGTGGGGGAGATTTTCTTTGGGTCCATTAGTACCAATTGAGCATCAACGCCACAGCCTACCTGAGTATTGCTGCTGACCATGTCCATCCCTTTATGAGCACAGTGTCTCCATCTTCTGATGGCTACTTCCAGCAGGATAACGCAGCATGTCATAAAGCTCAATCATCCCAGACTGGTGAACATGACGATGAGTTCACTGTACTCAAATGGCCTCAACAGTCACCAGAGCTCAATCCAATAGAGCAGCTTTGGGATGTGGTGGAACGGGAGATTGGCATCATGGATGTGCAGCCGACAAATCTGCAGCAACTGTGTGATGCTATCATGACAATATGGAGCAAAATCTCTGAGGAATATTTCCAGTAGCTTGTTCAATCTCTGCCACAAAGGATTAAAGCAGTTCTGAAGGCAAACAGGGTCTAACCTGGGACCAGTAAGGTGTACCTAATAAAGTGGCCGCTGAGTGTACATGTGCACTTTATTATTATGCATTTTATATAATAATACAATGACTTGACTAATTAACCAAGTTAAGCCTTTAAATGACACTTTAAGCAGAACACAGTATCTTGTCAACAAATAAATCAGTTATTAGAAATGAGTTATTAACACTATTATGTTTAGAAATGTGCTTTCATTAAACAGATATTGGGGAACATATACAGCAGTGCTCATAATTCTGACTCCAACTGTATGTGTGTGTGGAAGGAGGTCAACGCTCCATATGCTGGCATCAGTTTTAATGTGCTCTCTGGAAGTGTGTGTTTAAATACAGTCCACACAGCATACGTCCGTCGCTCGGAGCCGCAGCGTGTGAGCGATGGCTCCATTGCTCAATCCCACCTCATTCTTTCCAGGCATATTCAGCGGGAACAGGTCGTTGCGGTAATGCACAGAGTTTGTCAGTATGAATGCATGACAAATAAATCACCCGCGAGCCCCGGCTCTCATGCCGTTCCTCTACATGCAGCTGGCTTTTTATATAAAGCAAGAGCAGGAATGACACCCCGAAGTGAGTGATGGGCATCGGGACTCGCAAACACTATAAATTAAGCCCTTAATGATATCGTATTGAACACGCTGCTAGTTGGAGATCACTCAGATGAGCTTTGTGCTGTGTATTAGTGGAATAATAAGGGCCATTCAACACAACTGTAGACAGAAGACTGAGGAAATTACAGGGCTTTTGCCTAATATATGGCACTCATGGCATTTAAGTATGTGCGCTCACATGCATTATTAAACACTTTGAGCATGTACTGGTATAATATATATATATTTTTAATTAACTATTATTTAATGTAAATTGTCATTTATAATATAATAAATTTTATGTATTTTTAAAACTATTTTTATATATTTTTAATGTAAATATATAAATTGACATAATAATTAATAAAAATACATATTATTTTCTTTTTTTACAGGATTAATCAGAAAAAATATAATAGTTTTCCCAAAAATATTAAGCAACACAACCAATTTTACATTTATTATAATAAGAATTCAATTAAAATTAATTGATTAAATTAATTCATGAATTAAAATAATTTAAATAAATTTATTTTAATTTAATTTAATTTAATTTATTTAATTTAATTTAATTTAATTTAATTTAAATAAAAAAAATAAAAAAATAAAAAATAATAAAATAAAATAAAATAAAACAATAAAGTAAAATAAAATTAAATTAAATAAATTTGAATAAATTTAAATAAAATTAAATTAAATAAAACGAAAAAATAAATAAAATAAAATAAATTAATTCATAATAATTATTTAAGTTGTAATAATTTAAGTATATTCAAATACAAGAACAAGGTGTGTTACACATACCAAGTACTTCCTGCAGTAATTATAATTAATTATGCATGATTACATGCAACTATACTTAAACTTAACCCTCATTCTTTCCCTAATCAGACAGTAAGTGCATGTAGTTAATTAATAGTATTACTCAGTAGTTAAATAAATACTAACACATTTTTTTTTTTAAATAATTAATGCTAATAATTTCAAGTAGGAGGTGGCACGGTGGCTCAGTGGTTATAGTCGCTGGTTTGAGTCCCGGCTGGGTCAGTTGTCATTTCTGTGTGGAGTTTGCATGTTCTCCCTGTGTTGGCGTGGGTTTCCTCCGGGTGCTCTGGTTTCCCCCACAGTCCAAACACATGCGCTATAGGGGAATTAATTAACTTAATTTGCTGTAGTGTATGAGTGTGTGTGTGTGTGTGTGTGTGTGTGTGTGTGTGAATGAGTGTGTATGGGTGTTGTGTGCATCCGGAAGGGCATCTGCTTCGTAAAACATATGCTGAAAAAAGTTGGCGGTTCATTCCGCTATGGCGACCCCTGATGAATTAAGGGAGTAAGCCGAAGGAAAATAAATGAATTTCGAGTAGGTATCACTGCAGCAAGTGGGAGGGATTTTACTGCAAGTGGGCTGGGTGACCTCCAACTGGGAGGGACTTATGCTGCAAGATAGCTGGGGTGCTGTAGGTGTAGTAGACATTTATAAAAACACAAATGGGTAACTGTGAGGTTGGGTTTGGGGTTGGGGTAGGTGTAGACATTCATAAAACACAATAGTTTGGACTCTGTGTTATATAAAAGACATTAATAAAAATAAAAACTCCAGGTTTGTACAGCCCACTTGGAGCTCAACTCCCATCCACTTGGAGCTGGCTCCGACCTCCATTTATACCCTTCTCAATAATTTAGCTTTGTTTCATAATGTGCTCAGTATTTATTTATAACGAGCTGAATTGTTTTATGTTCAATCCACTTACATTTGTTAAGTTAGCAACCAATTTGTGTTGGGACCAGATGAACAGTGTGGAGACCTACATGTATTACAGTGTGAGGATCAAACAGAAGCACATGCTGTTGTATCTGAAATCCTCTGATCTTGAAGCAGAGCACTCACGTGAGGACGTAATTGACGCTGACGATGCAGTGAGGTCTGGATGATCTGCTGTTGTGGACGATGGTGGCGTAACTCTGTACCCACACCCATCCGCCCTGCTTCGCCAGGAATCGGTAGTATTTAGTGGTGACTTGTCCTTTTACCAGCACTACAGAGAGAGAGCAAAGACCATTCAACTGGTAATACTTCAAGCGGTGTTCATAAGACATTTATGCATGCTTGTGACAGCTGCTATTCACTCAGTTATGCCATTTTAAATGCAAAGATGACATTGTTGGTTTTGAAAGCTTGACATAAATACATCACAACCTGGTTTTGCTGTTGTCATGACAACTTGACATTACCAAACCCTACTGAAAAATCCAGCTTAGACCAGCTTAGACTGGTTAGCTGGTTTTAGCTGGTTGACCAGGCTGGTTTTAGAGGGGTTTCCAGCCATTTCCAGCTTGGTCTTAGCTGGTCAGGCTGGGAAATGACCAGCTTAAACCAGCTTGACCAGCCTAGCCAGGCTGGGAGCCCAACTAAAACCAGCTTAAATCAAGTCAAGCTGGTTTTAGATGGTTCTAGCTGGTCATTTTCCAGCCTTACCAGCTAAGACCAAGCTGTGGAAACGAGCCTGGAAATGGCCAAAACCCCTCTAAAACCAGGCTGGTCAACCAGCTTAAACCAGCCAACCAACCTAGGCAGGTTTAAGCTGGATTTTTCAGCAGGGAAACTTGTCATAAATCCGTCATAAACATGATTGTCATAAAGCCGTTATAAATATGCCATAAATTCATTAATATTCATAACAAAAATCTAAATTTGTCATTAAAATGTCATTAAATGTTAATAACGCTCTTAAATATTAAAGACACTTTTATAAGACATTTTAATGTCAAATGTAGTTTGAAGAAGTGATCAGAAAAATATTTATGACACAGTAATATCACAATCATGTTTATGACGGATTTATGACAATGTCAAGTTGTCATGACAACAGCAAAACCAGGTTATGTTGCATTTACGTCACATTGTCACGTCACAGTCTATTCGAATGTAATCACTCGACTTTATCAGTGGTTATCAGCTCATAGATATGGGCCTTCTGCGCCTACTGGTAGGCTAAGAAGGTTATTATCATCCAACTACATAGTTAACCAGCTCTAGATCAATTACGGTTGTGGCCGAAATTTAACGAGAATTATTTATATTATTAATTAAATTTCACATTAATTGTATTTTATTAACGTCTACCCCTACCTTAAACCCAACCGTCACAGTAATGTAACAACAAATCTGGATTTGGAGTCTTCTCTAATAATATAGCTGATTAACCATGTGGATAGATGATAACAGCCTTCTGAGACTACCAGTAAGTACAGAAGGCCCCTACTGGCCCATATCTATCAGCTGATAACAACTGACCAATTCAATGGAGTTATAACATTCGAAGCGGGAACACAAAAACAATGTCATCTTTGCATTTACAATGTCAAAGCTAAGCGCTTAACAACAAGCATGCATCAAATCTCATTCACATTCACGTGTCATGTCATGATTATAAAGGTTTCATGAACACCCCCTTCCATCAAGTAAAGTGTTCATTAAAATAAATCATTCATTTGCTTCCCTCAGCACTCCAAGTGCTTCATTTAATCGTCTTTACTCACAACAGCTATAATTACTGTACATAATTATTATCTATATTACTATAATTACTTATTATTCCACATTTAAACCCTGATCTAATAACTATTTATAGCAAATAAAACCAAACATCACATCTCCCAACAAACCATGTTGTGCTTTCATCAGAAACATAATAGATGAACCGATACGCAACAGAAAAGTGTGTATTTAAGGACGGAAAATATTCCGGCTGGTTAATTTAGTCTCTAATAGTTGGCACGTTTCCTCTAAGCTCATTGGTGGTTTATTTATATATACAAAATATTTAGACACATTATGCAAATACAATCCTTTATTATGCATGCAATTAAATCACTTGATTAAACACTAGTTCCAAATGTGTTGGTAAAACAATATCTTTAAAATCAGGGCTTGGGAAATATATATTAAAAGTATAAGTACCAATAATTTTGCTTTTAACTTTACCTTGTTTCAAAATGAGGATGCACTCAAAACACTTCAGTTCAAACTACTTAATTAAAATGAGCTAATACACATTTTTTGGGGGCAACTTAATTTATTTATGTTCAATCCACTACGATTTGCATTGGGGCCACATAAGGAATTTAAAGGATCTCTGACATAAAAAAGTTTAATCATTTATTAATTTCCTTTCATTAACATAGCAACTTTTACACAAGTGCTTTTACAGACGCCGGCCACTTTATTAGGTACACCTGTCCAACTGCAAATTTCTAATCAGCCAATCACATGGCAGCAGCTCAATGCATTTATGCATGCAGACACGGTCAAGAGGATCTGCTGCAGTCCAAAGTGAGCATCAGAATGGGGAAGAAAGGGGATTTAAGTGACTTTGATGGTTGTTGCTGCCAGACGGGCTGCTCTGAGTATTTCAGAAACTGCTGATCTACTGGGATTTTCACGCACAACCATCTTTAGGGTTAACAGAGAATTCTCCGACACAGAGGAAATATCCAGTGAGCGGCAGTTCTGTGTTGTCTTGTTAATGCCAGAGGTCAGAGGAGAATGGCCGGACTGGTTGCAGCTGATAGAAAGGCAACAGTAACTTAAACAAGCACTCGTTACAACGCCACAGCCTACCTGAGTATTGCTGCTCACCATGTCCATCCCTTTATGAGCACAGTGTCTCCATCTACTGATGGCTACTTCCAGCACGATAACACAGCATAAAGCTCAATCATCTCAGACTGCTGAACATGACGATGAGTTCACTGTACTCAAATGGCCTCCACAGTCACCAGAGCTCAATCCAATAGAGCAGCTTTGGGATGTGGTGGAACGGGAGATTGGCATCATGGATGTGCAGCCGACAAATCTGCAGCAACTGCGTGATGCTATCATGACAATATGGAGCAAAATCTCTGAGGAATATTTCCAGTGCCTTCTTTAATCTCAGCCACAAAGGATTAAAGCAGCTCTGAAGGTAAAAGGAGGTCCAATCCAGTATTAGTAAGGTGTACCTAATAAAGTGGCCGCTAAGTGTATTTAATAGTTTTGACTCACAACAGCTCCAATTACTGACTCCATTTCCGCATGTAGACCCTAATCTAATAACTATTGAGAGCAAATAAACCCAAACATCACATCTCCCGATGACCAGTGTTGTGCTTTCATCAGAGACATAATAGATGAATCAATGTGTAATAGTAAAGTGTGTATTTAAGGACCGAAAATATTCTCCTTTTCCAATTCCGGCTGCTTAATTTAGTCACTAATAGCTGGCACGCTTCCTCTAAGCTCGTGTTCAAATCACTAAATCATATATTCATCTCCTGTAAGGTGGTTTTATCAATTACTGCGCTCTGTTGTGTGCTGGATGTGGTAGTGTGTGTTCTGCAGTGTGTGTTATTATTAGAGACGCGAGCAGAGGAATGAGGAAAAACAAAGCTCACTCACACAAGTGGTGCGCGCAGCGGAGATGGAAAGTGTCACAGCTGTGGACGTGATGATAAAGTGTCTTCTCTATTAAGTCTTGCGGCTCGTAGCCAGTGAGCTCCGCAACCCTGACAAACACACACACACACACACACAACTGAATAACAATGGTGTTGGCGGAGGCACAAACACCTGTGCACACACTGGCACGTGCAGGCATGGGACAAATATGGTTAGAGGTAAGCTCAACGTGTGTGTCTTACTAAACACAGCTGCACACACACACACACACACACATGCACACGCACACACACACACAGAAATGTGTACAAATACAAAGCTGCGTTTAAGAAAAACTGACTTAAAAGGTTTTGTCCATCCATCCATCCATCCATCCATCCATCTATCTATCTATCTATCTATCTATCTGTTGTTGACATCCATCCATCCATCCATTCATCCATCCATCCATCCATCCATCAATCCGTCCGCCCGTCCGTCCGTCCGTCCGTCCATCCATCCATCCATCCATCCATCTATCCATCCATCCATCCATCTATCTATCTATCTATCTATTTGTTGTTGACATCCATCCATCCATCCATCCATCCATCCATCCATCCATCTATCCATCCATCCATCCATCCATCCATCCATCCATCCATCCATCCATCCATCCATCCATCCATCCATCCATCCATCCATCCATCCATCCATCCATCCATCCATCCATCCATCCATCCATCTATCTATCTATCTATCTATCTATCTATCTATCTATCTATCTATCTATCTATCCATCCATCCATCCATCCACCTATCTATCTATCTATCTATCTATCTATCTATCTATCTATCTATCTATCTATCTATCTATCTATCTATCTATCTATCTATCTATCTATCTATCTATCTATCTATCTATCTATCTATCTATCCATCCATCCATCCATCCACCTATCTATCTATCTATCTATCTATCTATCTATCTATCTATCTATCTATCTATCTATCTATCTATCTATCTATCTATCTATCTATCTATCTATCTATCAATCCATCCATCCATCCATCCATCCATCCATCCGTATACCTGGAGTCCAGGAAGATGAGCTTCATGTCCAGGCTGGCTCTGAACATGAACATGTTGCTGTGCAGTTTGATCTCGGTGACTGCGCTGGGCGGGAGCGAGTGACCTACAGCCACCAGACCCACATTCTGATAGCAGCCGTCGAACGGAGACATGTCTAAACTGTACTGACGGATCTTCAGGTACCCGCTGCAGTGGATGACCTGCCGAGAGAGAACACACACACACATATACACAGCTGAAGTCAGAATTATTAGCCCCCTTGTATATATATATATATTGCCCAGTTTCTGGGAAAGTTCACAATAACTCATCTCTTATAACTGATTTCTTTTATCTTGGCCATGATGACAGCACATAATATGTTTCAAGACACTAGTTCAGTTTAAAGTGACTTAATAAGGTTAAGTTCGGGTACTCCGGCAGGCCATTGTATAACAGTGGTTTGTTCTGCAGACAATCAAAACAAATATTGCTTAAGGGGGCGAATAATATTGACCTTAAAATGGCTTAAAAAGTGAATTCATTACCTGTTAAGCATAAACTCTACATTAACGGATGTTAGTAAGCAGTTTATAACTGTAGATACAGATGCTGTATTCTTGACTTCTAAATATGTGTATAATGAGCTTAATAAAGCAAAAAATAAATAAATAAAAAAAATAAAATAAAAGCAAAATCCCTTTTGTAATGTTATGTCAACACACACTAAAAATATCTGTAAATTAACTGTTTTCCGTGGGGTTTTCTCTTTTATTTATGCATTTTAATAGCATTATGTGTCCATTAAAAGCTTTTGAAAATGCAAAGTTTGAAAAATGGACCTTTATTGAGATTTTTAATAGTTTAAAATGCCAAATTTTCTTAGTTGGTGTATTATGCTCAGTGATGTAAAGTAACTAAACACAAATACTCAAATTGCTGTAATTAATTACTTTTACTAAGGAGTTGTAATTTATTGAGTAGTTTTAAAAATGTGCACTTCTATTCTCACTTGAGTACATCTTTACTGCAGTATCTGTACTTTTACTCCACTACTTTCCTTCAACCTGCAGTCACTACTGTATTATTTTCTTGTCTATGGGGATTAGAAAAATCAGTCCTGTAATTCCCGTCCAATCAAATCTCACATAGTAGGTAAATCGCCTCATGATGAACTACCTCAAGACATGGGCGATTTAATAATGCAGCAAACTGTTTGGAAGCATTAAAAGTGTCCAAGAAGATGTCCAAAATCTTTACAGGCCCTGACCCGGACACTGTTTAGATGCAGGTCAGAGATGAGAAGATGACGGATGTTTACTGTATGGGGACCCAAATGGCTTTAAACACCCAGCAAGCACAAGACATCAACATGATGTCAGATTGACGATGTACCCCAATGTCGTGGGGACGTTGCATTTTGTTTGGAGTTAACTATGATCTTCAATGTAAAGCTGCTTTGACACAATTTACATTGTAAAAGCGCTTTACAAATAACGGTGAATGAAATTGAAATGAAAATCGGGTTAAGTTCAGAACTCAAAGTCAGACCAACGTCAACGTCCAACCGAAAACCAACCAAATATCAACGTCTAATGATGTCACAGCTTGAAGTTGTGTGGACGTTACCACTATGACGTCTATCAGATGTTGGATTGAATAAATATCAGAGTTTGACATCAGTATGATGTTGGTTTAAGATGTTGGCTCGACGTTGGATTTTGGTCACTTTCTAACAACCTAAAATCAACCAAATATCAACGTCTTTTAACGTTGTTATTCGAATTCAAAGTAACGTTATCCTTAGACACTGGCTAGACATTGAATTTTGGTCGCCTGACATCACAACCTAAATCTACCCTAATATTAACGTCGTATGACGTTGTGTGTCTGCTGGGCAATAACTACAAGCACTACAGAATGTTACGTTTACACACACATCCACAAATGACATGTAAATGCATCAGCTTATAACAGCGTAATACTACTACTCATGAGTACTTTTAAAAGGGCTACACTTTACTCCTACTCTGAGTAATATTTACAACAGGTACTTTTACTCTACTCACACTACATTTTTAGGCAAGAAATGGTACTTTTACTTGAGTTTGACTTTTCAGTACTCTTTCCACCACTGATTACGCTACAAAAACCTGGTAATAATCTGCCAATACATTATTTTTACAAACCTATTTCTCTATACATTATTTATTACACATTACACTACTTCAAACAACTAAACTGACGCTAAAAGTCCATTTATTAAACTGCTGAGTTGAGTTTTCAACATCAAAAATGGACAAAGCAGAAATATGAAACTCCCAAAAATGAAATTCACCACCGTAAATAAACAGAAAACACTCGGATACTAATATACACTAACATGTTTCATCTTTGACTAATGCAGACGGAGACAAGTCAACACACACACACGCATTAAATAAGCAGACAGCGGCCCACCTTGTAACCACCGCACGTCAATCCTGCGTTACGTTTAGCAAGGACACATTTCATCCTCAGGAAAAAAGAGCGCTCCATTTCGTACTCTAGAAGAAAACGCAGAAGGTTTTAAGGGAAGATGAAGTGATTTGTGCGCATGTATGTGTGTGTGTGTGTGTGTGTGCTGGCCTCACCATGGACGAAGTGTGAATGATAGGGCTGGTGAGCCGTCAGCACTGCGGTCATTTCGTCGTGGTCTGCGGGGTGGATGTACTCATAAATGCTGTTCCCCGTCAGCTCTACCTGTTAAAATGAACTTTAGTCATTGCAGTCAGAGACGCCGGGCGAGAAAACAAAGCCAGACTGAATACGAACAGCCTGTCATGATGTATATTATGTGTTGTAGGACATATTGCAGCAAAATATATTGCAATAAGGGGTATTATTGTCATTTTAAGACCCCCACTCATTATATAATGCCAGAATGACAATATAATATCATCACAATGCTCTTCCAGAGAACACATTATACTTACTTAAGGATATTTCATTTAATTAAAGTCATTTAAATAATGAGGCACTAGAATCAGAATGTGAAACGCATATAATAAACAAATAATAATAAAGGTTAACAAAAAAAAAGTGCAAGGGTGAAGAGTAACAGAGGCTGCGACCAGATCTATTTTCAGCTGTCTGACACCCTCATACACTGTAAATATACTGTATACAGTAAATACTGTAGTGTTTATCACCCATAGTGACACTGACACCTCCAATAGAGATAGATATGTTGCACAATCAGCTAAAATCAGTTCTTATGTATGGGTGATGTATATATATATATATATAATGCATCGCAGAAATGATTGAGGTCGTGTCCATGTGTTGTGTGTTAAGTCCATATATTGATTATTGTGACAGGCCTGCTTAGAAAGCGAGCAGAAAATGTGCACTTTACCTGTGACAAGCCTAAATGCACTGACGCCGTTTCTGAAATGTACAGGATTTTCCCATCAGGAGCCACCACAAAGATGAAGCCGTCTAACGTCTGGAGAACATTTGAACACAGGCGCATTAGTGCTATTGTTTTTATTATATAATTGTTATATATTGGTATTATTATATATATATTATTATACAGTAGCCAGGATATATATTTACTCCTTTTTCTTATGTTATCTATGATCAGAGGAATGGCTTTTGCTGCTTGTTCAAGCTACTTATTTATTATGAGTTGAAGCAACACAAGTATTAACTCTGTTTTGGGGCAACTTAATTGTTTTATGTTAAAGTTTACTCTATGAAACTCTGCAGTTTTTTTTTTTTTTTTTAGCAATTTAATAATCTTTTTTATCTCACATCTATTACTATTTCTAATATTCTAACATGTATTTTATACGTCTTATTTTCCTATCAGGAGCCATCACAAAGACGAAACCATCTAAAGTCTGGAGAACATTTAAACTGAGGCTCAGTAGTGCAACTGTTATTATTAGTATATATTATTATATATTATATTATTATTATATAACTAATTATTATAGCATAATTAGAGCTTAGAAAATACTATTTTTTTATTATGCAAACTATATGTTATATAGAGTAAAATAAAATGGCTTTTTGCTGCTTGTTCAAGCTACTTATTTAAAATGAGTTAAAGCAACACAATTAACTTTGCTTCTGGGCAACTAAATTATGTTACAATTAACTTAAAATAGAAGCCTAAAAACGATTTAAGTTAACTTATTGGATTTGTGTTGGGATAACATGAAGGAATTGTGTGAAATCCTGCAGTTTATTCATCTTATTTATCACACATGTATTAGTTATTATGATCTAATGTGTATCATATAAGCCATTATTTTCCTATCAGGAACATCACAAAAGATGAGGCCATCTAAAGTCTGGAGAACATCCAAACAGGGGCTCAGTGGTGATATTATTATTATTATTATTATTATTATTAGTGCATAATTAGTGTTTAGAAAAAAACTGTTTTTCTTATGCACACTAAAAATGGTATAATCCACATGGAAAAACCAATACAGTAGCCAGGATTTGTATATTTTACTCCTTTTTCTTGTGTTATCTAGTCAAAAAATGGCTTTTGCTACTTGTTCAAGCTACTTATTTAATATGAGTTGAAGCAACACAAGTATTAACTCTGTTTTGGGGCAACTTAATTGTTTTATGTTAAAGTTAACTCTATAAAACACTGCAATTTTTATATTCTTTACTTTGTATTAATCTTATTTATTACACATGTATTACTATTGATTATGATCTAACATGTATTTTATAGGTCTTATTTTCCCGTTAGAAGCCACCACAAAGATGAAGCCATCTAAAGTCTGGAGAACATTTAAACAGAGGCTCATCATTAATTATTATTATTATTAGTAGTATTAGTATTATTATTATAGCATAATTAATGATTAGAAAACTATTGTTTTTATTAACTATGTTCATTATGCACACTACAAGCCGCACAAAATTCTATTATCCACACGAGAAAAACAAAAACATTGGCAAATGCAGTAGGCAGGATCTTTTTTCTAATGTTACCGTTAGTCAGAACATGACTTTTGCTGCGTGCTCAAACTACTTATTTAATATGAGTTAAAGCAACACAATTAACTTTGATTTCAGGGAACTTAATTATGTTAAAATTAACTTCTACATTTGTAAAAAACGATTAATTTAACTTGTGTTGGGACAACATGAAGGAACTGTGTGAAACCCTGCAGCTTTTATTCATCACACATGTATTATTATTCATTATTATCTAACATGTATTATAAAGGCCTACATTATTTTGCCAACACAAAGATGAAGCCAACTAAAGCCTGGAGAACATTGAAACAGAGGCTCATTACTGCTATTATTATTATTATTATTATTATTATTAGTGTGTAGAATATATATATATACATTCAGATGAAAAGCTACATCTGATTTAAGATTCAGTCAAGCTTTCGTATTAATTCTTCAGAACAGTATCACTGAAAAAAGTGTTGCATGCAGAACTGTTGCAAACAATTTATTTGTTTTGAATTTAAACAAACAAATTAAGTTTATTATTGTTCAACTTAATTTGTTTGTTTAAATTCAACACAGATAAATTGTTTACAACCACTTTACGTTAAAAAATTTAGTAAATCCAAGGAGTCATCTCTGAATAATTTTTTTTCAGTGTAGGTGGCACTTCTAAAATATATATGCTGGGTTATTTCAACTAAATTCTGGGTGTGATAGGGACTAACACAACTGCTGGGTTACAATGTTTTTCATTAAGCTAATAGGACCAAATTGAACCCAATGTTTGAGTTGTGAAAAACTCTGAGTGCAATTGAGGCTAACAACAACTGCTGGGTTGCTTCGACCAAATCCTGGGTGTAATAGGGACTAACACAACTGCTGTTTTTATTTTATTTTATTTTTTTTAAATTTTTTTTTTTAAGGACCAAATCTAACTTTTAACGTTTGGGTTTGGCCATATTTTACCAAATTTGGTTTTAAATAACCCAGCATTCCTTAAAGTCTAAATAACTTAAGGAAATTATTAACTATTGTTATTAATAACGCAAGTTACTTGCATTAAAAATAATGAACAGTACATTTATTACAGTATTTATTCATGTTAATGTACATACAGTCATTTATTGTTAGTTAATGTTACCTCAGGGTGCATCAACTAGTGTTAACAAGCATAAATGTGGATGTTAATAATGCATTAGTAAATGTTCAACTATGATTAATAAATACTGTACACGCATTGATCATTTTTAGTCAAGTTTAAGCCAAGTAACAAGTGAAACTTGGACCGCTATAGCGATTAAATAAAACTGTAGTGCAAATTCTGCATCATAGAAAATAACTTCGATGTTTAATAATGCATAATGCAGTAATGGAAATAATGCATAATCACATTTAAATAACTGCGTACAATAAAAACTTTAGAGCCTACAACAGCGAATGGGAAAAAATAAGAAAGAAGAAACAAGAAAGAAGAAGAGGAGGAATTATAATTACAATCAGGTGTTGTTTTGTGTGTGATTGTGTACCTGAAGCAGATGTGATCCTAATTCTCGGCCGACATTTTCCAGTGAAGTCGTTCGACTCACATGGCCCCAAGATTCCCCAAGACCTGCGGAATATTCATTAAACACTTCAGAGTAAGCTATTAGGCGATATTAATAATAATAGCATCAATTATAATTATAATAACACACGAATAATCAAAGCCTACAGAGAAAACGCAGTCATCAAGCGAAAAAAGAGCCGACAAATCGCAAAAATAAAGCATCTCTAAATGCGCGACCCGTTTCATAATAAAGCAGAGCAAAAATAACAACAAAGAATAATAGTCTTTATACTGTCACCCGACTATCAGCTAGTCAATATTTTCACTGTGAATTGACTGTAAACACGGTGAATGTAAATGAGGAGTATTTATGATGGTCCCGTGCAGGCAGCGAAACTCGATAAAGCAAACAGTCTGACACACACACACACACACACATAGACACACACACAGACACACATACACACACATAGACACACACACACACACACACACACACACATAGACACACACACAGACACACATACACACACATAGACACACACATACACACACACACACACACAATCCTTATTGAAATGCAAATCACACGTAAACAAACATCAGATGAAAGCAAAAGCTCGGATTCTACTTTAATATTAAACAAACATGGACTCCGCGTTTATCCAGCAGCAGAAACAATCACATTACTGCTCAAACAGCGCATTCACACACGCACACAACACAAACTCCTCTGAATCCGCTTTAAATCACACTGCAGGAGCTTTTTATACACAAATATGGGCGATTTATATATATATTTTTAACACTTAAAACAGATTTCAACATTAAGATAGTTTTGATTAAGAGTTTGATCGACAGACAGTTTTGTCAGGATCTTGTATTTTATGTCTGATATTGTTTTTTTTAGAGGTGTTTTGTATATTGTGAGTTTTGTGCCTATGGGAAATTTCGACAACGGGTTCAATATTTTTTTTTTAATCTTTAAGCTATTGAAGACCACATAAGTTTTTAAATAATAATAATAATAATAATAATAATAATAATAATAATAATAATAATAATAATAACAAAAACAACAATATTAATAATAATAGAGTAAATAAATAAAATTAAATAAATAACATTTAAGACTACAATTGATGTGCGCTGAAAGCGCAATGGCCAATGATCCAAAAGAGAAAATCTTTTTAATTTTTTTTCCCGAAAGGACATCATAGGATTTAAAAAATCTAAATATAGATCAAATATTTATTTGTATCTGAATTAATAAATACAATGTAAAAATGAGTTATTTTAACCCAATTTGGGTAAAACATGGACAAATCCAAATGTCGGGGTAAATTTTGGCTTATAAATTTAATTTAAAAAATTGACCCAGTGGTTTTGTCTATATGATATTTACCCTAAATTGAATAGAAATAATCCTGTTTGTTTTTAGAGTGTAGATAACACTAAATTTCTGAATATTAATTCTGATTTTCCGATATAAATATTTCAGTTAAACTTGCAAGACTAAAAAGTTGGACTGAAAATTTTAAATTGACATAAAACAACTGTTTCTGTTAAATAAATAAATAAATAAATAAATAAATAAATAAACAAACATTGAATCTTTTCAGCGCGGCTTAGTATAACATGCAGGAATTTTAATCTAGCGCACGTATATTTATGTATTTTATTCGTATAGATATGGCTATTAAAACACTTTTATTATACATAAATTATCGGTATAAATAGCTTTCGTTTAATCTTAATTTTCGAAACAATAGTAGAGCAGGTTTCAAATTTCAAGTATTTAGGCACAATTATTGACAATAAATTGAATTTTAATAGTAATGTAGAGGCGGTTTATAAGAAAGCAAGTCAGCGCCTCTATCTCCTCCGCAAATTGAGAAGTTTTAATGTTAGTACACAGACTTTAAACTTGGCATATAGATCACTTATAGAGAGTGTTCTCACATATAATATTGTTTCATGGTTCGGTAACACAACACTTAAACAGAAAAAGAAATTAGCGCAAATTATAAATCAGGCAAATAAGATAACTGGTCACAAACAGCATTCATTGCAGATTTTATTTGACTCTTTTATGGAAAAAAGAGCAGTTGTGATTTTTAAAGATAATACACATCCGCTTCACTCAGCATTTGAACTGCTACCATCAGGACGCAGGTTTAGAATTCCTAAAGCACGAAGAAATGCCTATAAAAAGTCATTTATCCCAATGGCAGTTGTTGTTCTAAACCGGATCAATGTTTGTAGGAAATGAGGTGGTTACCAAGTATGATTTGCAGTATTGTGTATGGGACTAATTTGGTTTTTAAACTTTTAACCTATGTTGTTGTGTTGGTAAGTGTTATTGTGTCGTTGGTGTATGTTTGTAATTGTTGTCCTAAATCCAGTGTTGAAGAAAAATTTCCTTTTTGTGTCAAGCAGAACGGACAATAAAGTTTAAACTAAACTAAACTGAAATGCCATGAAGCAGAATTTACGTCCAAAATAGCCTATATTACAGCATCCAGAACCTGTAAAATAAAAGCTGACGTCGAAAAATAAATAAGGCGAAAACAAAGCCTCCGCGATAGGAGTCTGACAGCGGCGTCCGTCAGAGGGATTCTCTTCACAGCCCAGCAATAAATAACCACCATAAACCCACCTTCATTTTCTAATAAAACTTTACTGTCTCATTTCCTCTAGCTCTACATGCGAGCTGTCTTTACTTTGACCTCGCTGACCTTTAACCCTGGCGAGTTGTTTCATTTACATTGTATGTTTAAAAACATTTATTTACAACGTAATGAGAGAAACACCTGGGGAAATGCAGTCAGGTATCTATAGCTACACGGGGAAAGTGTATTTTACCGTGCTTATTTTAAAGCTACCTGCCGCACATTGATGTAATCCACATGGGAAAAACAATAAATATAAGGCAAATAAAGTAGCCAGGATTAATATATATATATATATATATATATATATATATATATATATATATATATATATATATATATATATATATATAAAAACTATTTTTCTTATGTTATCGATAGTCAATAAATGAGTTTTGCTGCTTGTTCAAGCCTACTTACTTGATATGAATTGAAGCAACACAATTCATAACTTAATTTTTAAGCAATTTAATAGTTTCATGTTAGAATTAACCTAAAATATTAATATTAAAAGCTAACTTGATCGATTTGTGTTAAAGTTATTAAGGAATTGTGTGAAACCCTGCAATTTTAATTCTTATTTATTACTATGTATTATTATTTAAAATTTATTATATACATTATTTGTCCCGTAATGCACGAATCCTTCTCATTCAGAGGTAAACAGCTTGGCCTATTAATAAGCAAGACTTATATAAAAACAGAGAAACAGAATAGCCTAATATATAAACGAATAAACGGAAAATACAAATAATAATGCTTACGATAGAGTCAGTAGATTTGATATTAAACGCGCACACAAGCGACAAGTTTGACACTTCATTAAAATACACATCACATATACGCTATAAAACTGCAGGTTAACTATGATTATATATAATATCTTATATTATTTGATTGCATTTAGCTTTAACTGATCGTAATGCAAACATGTGCACCTTTAAAGCTGCTTTGAAGCAATAGTTACTGTAAAAAGCGCTGTATAAATATCCTAGAACTGAAGTTTAGCTTGATGAAATGTCCGTATTTATGTCTGTCATATTGTAAACCCGTGCTGAGAGATACAGCAGATCCACTAAACCCATTATTGCATTCTTAATCAATTGTATTGCTGTTGTTGTTACATGCACATTTAATAATGATAGCCTAATAATGATAATTATAACAGTCATCCTATTATTATTATTATTATTATTATTTAATAATAATAATAATAATAATAATAATAATAATACATGTGAATATTTGTTTGGTGCCGCATTAGTCAAGTGTTGATCAGACAGTGATAATTAACGCTGCTCGTCTTCAGTCACGCGTGCAGAACAGGTGGAAACATCACTAATTAATCAGTAACATAATTAAACCCGAGTCTGTGTTCGAGTGTCACAAACGATGCTTCCAAAAAAAACAAGAAAGAGTGTCCGTGTTTCACTGAATACCTCTTTTTCTACACGATAGACGAGATATTTGTTAAGATTTTTAATATGCTGCGACTTTGCAGCCCGCTTTGTTTTCGCTAGGGTGTTTATAGTTTAAAAAATCATTCAAATTAGTCCTATTTTATTTAAACTGGGCTATTATTATTTTATTTTGCCAGATATTTCACGTGCGCATATGTAAATCCCATAGAAATCCTATAATAATGCTCCAAGGGCCTTCAAGTTAGATAACAAGCACAGTGTAAAACAGTTTAATGCCAAAGTGCGTACTACTTTTATTTATTTTTGTCTATATATTTATGTATTAATAACGTAAACAAATTATACTACTAATAATATTAATTACAAACAAATAACTCAGATCGCTTTAAATAAGATCATAATACTAATAGTAATGGTTAACATTTTATTTCTAGGCCTAGCTGAACGTTCAGCTTTCTACGATGAATTATTGTATGCTACAGATATTCACATGAGCGCTAATATTATTGTATTTTAAATAAGAGAATACCAGGCTAATAATCGGAATCTTAGTAATCCATTTTATTCCAGGCATACAGTTGAATTAAACAACAATGTTCAGCTTCCCAAAATTAAATATTTAAGGTTAGAGATATTGACATGAGCGCTAACATTATAGTATTTTGAATAAGTTATTAATAGGTTACTACTACTCACTGTATTGCATGGCTAGTTGTAGATATTTATAAGAGCGCTAATCTTATTTAATTTTAAATGAGGTAATAATAGATTAATAAAAGTAACCGTAACAATATACATTGTTGTAGATATTCATATGCACGCTAATATTATTTTATGATATTATATAGTTCAAGAAAATAAAATATTATAGTCCAATAAAAAACGATAGCAATATTAACAATTTTATTACAGGCCTAGTTAAATAAAAACGAATATGTTCAGCTTCCGACAATTAAATATGTTCATTCATTCATTCATTCATTTTCTTGTCGGCTTAGTCCCTTTATTAAACCGGGGTCGCCACAGCGGAATGAACCGCCTAAATATTTACACTAAATACAATGGATTTAGCCTTTTATTTTTTTTAAAAAGTGGTTGCAAATAATTTATATGGGCTGAGTGTAAACAAATAAGCTAAATGCAGTAATGTTCAACCTAATTTGTATTTAAATTCAGATTAAATACAGAAAATTTAATTCAGAAATTAATTTAAAAATCAACACATGCATTTACAGATATTCATATCAGCGCTAATGTTATTTTATTTTAAAAATAAGATATAAATAAGCTAATAATAGTAATCGTAACAATTTTATTACATGTCTAGTTGAATAAAACAAGCATGTCCAGCTTCCCAAAAATAAATATAGGATATTTAAAAATGAATCCCTGTATTTACGTTTATTTCTTTATGGTGAGTAGTCGCAAACAATTTATTCGGGCTGAATTATACACAGAAATCAAGTTAAACATTGCTAAACTTCATTTGTTTAAATTCAGCTCGTGCAGACATATTTTCAGTGTAGTTGCAGATGCCGTGCGCACGCATAATACACACGCATCCAATTTGTTATGCATGCGCAAAAAACTGACGCACCTTCAGGGAAGACTATCCTCATTTTCAGGTAGCTGGTGGTGAGTCTGATGATGGAGGCTTTGTCCAGCTGTGAGGTGATGGCGGAGGGCAGAGGCAGCAGTTTGGCGAGCTCGTAAAACTCGCTGTTTTCCTTCTCCCGCCGCGTGCGCGCCGCGTTTTTCGACTTCTCCTTCATGCTCTCGGCCGCTCACAGCTGTCTCAGATACTCCCTCGATTAAGTGCACTCTCTTATCCACAACAACACAAACTCAAACGTGGGAAGATAAACATGGGAAGATTTCACAGACGTCCCGCCATCGTCGCCAACTCCCAGAAATCGACTGATGTTCCTGAGGTGCTTTTTTTACGCGGAGGCCTGAGGCGAACTGACCTTCATGACAGTGAGGAGTTTGTTTCAAACGCACACATGAAATCCATTCAGGCCTACAATCTCTTCAGGAAGTTTCCATCCATCAGACCCGAAAGATATTCCTGGAAAACAGCAAGAGCGCACGTTCATTTCTCTCCTGACACGCGCGCGCGCATGAGAGAAAACCACTAGTTTTACAGCGGAATGCGATCATTTGAACTGCGCGTACACTCTTCATATCAGCATTCTAGGATGCTTATTAAGACATTGAACATGTTGAATGCATCTTATTTTGCATTAGCATAACTTTTACGCGTTTAAAAACATCCACGTCTTCTTACCTCATTTCAGTGCACGCCGCGAACTTTGCGCGCGTCCATAACTCCACAGCGACAAATATCCAGACTTACTTCACGGCGAATTTCACTGCAAACATGGCATCTTTGTATCCAGAAGGATCTTGTTTGGAGGAGAGTTTCTTGAAGTCTCTTTCTGTGCGAGCGGCACGCGGATCCTCCCCCTGATCTCAGCTCATTGGACACTGAAGGACCAGACAGGATTTTCCCATTGGATCCCATTCACCGGCGGCCGCTTCTTGTGAAATCTCGATTTGTTAGAAAGGCTGACCCCTGACCCGTAACGCACTATGAATAATATTTGCATTTAAAGTTTAGTGACTATCTATCTATCTATCTATCTATCTATCTATCTATCTATCTATCTATCTATCTATCTATCTATCTATCTATCTATCTATCTATCTATCTATCTATCTATCTATCTATCTATCTATCTATCTATCTATCTATCTATCTATCTATCTATCTATCCATCCATCCAATAACCAATACAATGTTATTCTAAATAATATTGTCCAGTATGGCATATGCTTCTGCTATATTAATATTTCCGACATTATATAGGCCTATTATTATAGGTTATTGATATAATTAATAGCTTATAGCTTATATATTAAAGGTCAATATGTTTCACCAAAAAATGAGAATTTACTAACTCTTTACTCTCCCCTTTGTCTTTCTTCTGTTGAACACACACACACAAAAAGATAATTGAAAACATGTTAGTAACCATTGACTTCCATAGTAGGAAAAGAAATACAATGGAAGTCAATGGTTACCGATTTCCAGCATTTTTCAAAATATCTTCTTTTGTGTTTTTTTTTTAAAAAACTGGATGAGTAATTTAGGAGAGAATCTTCCAGTTTTGGGTGAACTACACTTAAAGAATAATGTTTGTTCTAACTATTTAATTAAAATTAGCTGCAACAACACAATTGTTGAGATGTTTTGGACGCGACTTAATTGTTTTAAGTTCCATTCAGTTAAATTTGTAAAAACTAATTCTTATAATCTTAAAATGTGAGCAAAATCGCCTGTTCTGTCATCACTTTAAAACAAGTTATCTCCTTCTTGTTACACAAATCGATAGAGTGGAACCCTACATTTATTATAGTGTATCCAGGGTGCGAATTACAGGGTTTTTTAGGGTGGTGGTGGGGGGGATGATGACGCTTGGTTCCCCTAAAGGACATCAAAACATCTCTTTAATAATAAGAATTAGCATTACAACATATATTAAATATTAATAATTAAAAAATTATAATACATTTGACCCCCCCTCCCCATAACGGTTTATACCATTGTGAATCCATAATCGTGACGATGTTAGGAAAAAATATAGTTCAACAGCCTGAAACTGGCAGTTCTAGAGCACCGATAGACATCTTAAGCATTAACCAAACACATTTCCTCATCTGTATGTAGCGTGAAAAAGAAATATTAGACACATAATTGTGTAGTTTGATCTAAAAAATCACAAGATATCCCTCAAAACACTGAAAATGTGTACATTTTTATTCATAAATTAGATGTAATTTAAAAAAGCATGTGTTACCAAACTATACCGAAAAAGTTGACCCCCTGATCGTCAATGTATAATTCGCACACTGAGTGTATCCCTTTAAGATCAGTAGCGGTAACAGTTTACAATAAGGTTCATTAGTTAATGCATTTACTAACATGAACAACACTTGTACAACATTTAATAATCATAATTGAACATTTACTAATGCATTATTAACATTCAAGTCCATGCTTGTTAACATTAGTTAATGCGCCATGAGTTAACATGAGCTAACAATGAACTACTATTTTCATTAACTAATGTTTATTAACATGAATAAATACTGTAGTAGATGTATTGGTCATTGTTTGCTCATGTTAGAAAAACATTAACTATTGAACCTTATCGTAAAGTGTGACCTCAGTAGCTTTAATAATAACAATAATAAAATATTATGACAAAACGCAATTAATAATCACACTAAGGTAAAAAAAAAGAAGCAAAAGCTGTTGTAAAAAAAAGCTTGTTTTTTTCTTTTTGGTGTGTGTGTGTGTGTGTGTGTGTGTGTGTGTGTGTGTGTGTGTTCGTGTGTATCTCGGAGGGCAGCAGTCTGTGTCTGTAATAGGAAATCACCTGCAGCAGGAGAAAATCAGAGAGGATGCGCCCTGCACACGAAGCGCTTGATGCTGCTTTAACCTTTTCCTGAAGCCTGAATTTGCTGCTGATTAAACGGCGTCAGTGGAAAAGAGAACAATCGAAAATACTTTACAATATATGAAGTCCTCTGTAGGGACGCGAAGCCAACGCCGGTAAAACCGCTGGCGACAAATGAACGCGTTAAAACAATTAAACAATTACATTAATGACTGCGTTAGAGCCAAATAAAACAAGCTTATTATCAGGATATGGGTTGCCAGATTCTGTCTCGACTTTTTTTTTTAAATACTTATCATATTTTTATACTTAGCCTATATTTATACTTTTAAAACAGGCTAATTGTGCATTTATTGCGTTCATGTTGTATTTTACAGCTCTGATTCGCAGTTGTGGATCCCAGTTGTAAGAGCAACAATCAAATTGGAAACCTGTAACCATTGACTTCCATAGTAGGAAAAACAAATACAATGGAAGTCAATAGTTACCGGTTTCCAGCATTTTTCAAAATATCTTCTTTTGTGTTTAAAAAAAAAACTGGATGAGTAAATTATGACAGAATCTTTCAGTTTTGAGTGAACATTAGAAGAAAAATGTTTGTTTAAACTACTTAATTAAAATTAGCAGCAACAACACAATTGTTGAGGTGTTTTGGGGGCAACTTAAATAAAAATTAGGCGCATTAATGACTGCCTTAGTTGATCAGAGCCAAATAAAACAAGCTTATTATATGGGTTGCCAGATTCTGTCTCGACTTTTCTTTTTATACTTATCATATTTTATACTTATATTTATACTTTAAAACAGACTAATTGTGCATTCATTGCGTTCATGTTTTATCGCAAGTGCTAAATAGCATGTTATTTTACAGCTCTGATTCACATGTATATACACTATCTGATAAAAGTCGTGGATCCCAGTTGTAAGAGCGACAATTAATAACTTGACTTCTTGTTGATCATTTGGAAAAGTGGCGATTAATCATCTGTTGATCTGCATCCCAATCATCACAAATACTGCAGAAGACCTACTACAACCAGCATGAAGACAAGATTCTCACAGTATTCAGTCAAGTTTGGTGAAGGAGAAATCATGGTTTGGGGTTACATTCGGTATGGGGCGTGCGAGAGAGAGAGATAGATAAAGAGAGAGATAGATAGATAGACAGACAGACAGACAGACAGATAGATAGATAGATAGATAGATAGATAGATAGATAGATAGATAGATAAATAGATAGATAGATAGATAGATAGATGATGGATGGATACACAGACGGATGTATGGATAGATAGATAGATAGATAGATAGATAGATAGATGGATGGATGGATGGATGGATGGATGGATGGATGGATGGATGGATACACAGATGGATGGATGGATGGATGGATAGATAGATGATAGATAGATAGATAGATAGATAGATAGATAGATAGATAGATAGATAGATAGATAGATAGATAGATAGATAGATAGATAGATAGATAGATAGATAGATAGATAGATAGA